ATACACACATCTCTCGCGCAAAAACACAGAGAGAGAGAGAGAGAGAGAGAGAGAGAGAGAGAGAGAGAGAGAGAGAGAGAGAGACCATTATCATTATTATTCATACTCGAAAACTAATTTATTAATTCCGTTATTAATTGCGATGATAGTGTTGAAAATTAATCTAATTTTGTTTTTATCAATAATTAAGTTCTGTAGAGTGAATTAATCAAAGTTTTAAAGCTTCTAGTAGCAGAATTTTGCGTCAAGTCTAAAGAAATAATATATTTTTGAATTTATTGTATTTAATAATAATAAAATATTAATACATAAAACCAATGCAATGTATAGCGAATATTAGACAATATTTGCAAAATAAATTTTTTTAATCGAAAAAAATATATATATCATTCAGTATGAATTTATTACATGAATGTATTACAACAAGTCAGTTTCTCATAAATAAATAACAATTGCTCGAAGAATTATTTTGTTGTAAAATGACATTGTCTTGTGGTACCAAATAGACTAATTCTAATTTTTCAAATTCTAATTTACATTAAGTTCTTCTTTATCTTCTAACTGTCGTAATATTAAAGAAATTATTAAATTTTATTCGGATAAGAGTTGCAATTTCTTTTTAATTTTTATTAAGAATCGCTACTATTTCAAAATGCGGAAAATTCACTTTTTTCAATATTTTTTCCCTTCACTATGTTTCATTGTCAAATTATACTTTTTTAAATATAAAAATAACGATCGAATAGTTTTAATAATAAAATTCTTCACACTATTCAAGTAAAGGCTAATTAATTTAATATCTGAATATTATTGGCAATAATGTTTGATATAAAATATGAATAATTACTTTCACGCAAAGTAATATGTTAGTATTATCATAGAATAAAAATTATTTATATTTGCATTTGGGACCTCATAAAGGGCTAATTTAGCCATTAAAATGCATAATTAAAAAAAACTTTTGAATTTCACAATTCATTAAAAACCATAATTAATTAATTTCTAGTTAAAAATATGAAGAATGATTTGTACGAAAATTTGCCAGGAGCTTCCAATATCAACGAGCGACAAGAATATCGCATCCTGTAAGATAGCTTGACTCTTCTTAAGATCTTAATATTGTACAAGTAAGCATATTTAAGATATTGTTTTTTTCTCTCTTTTTCAGTCATTAAGTGAATTAACGAGGAATTAAATTGCTATAAATTTCTCGGTCATTTCGTAGGACGTATCATGTTAAACAGCAACGGGAGTTTACAAGCCCATGTAACGTAAGTTTCATTGAAAAAGTTCGGTTACACAAGATTTTACATTTCATACGCTTAGCGTCATCTTAACAAGTATTATAAAAATTATGTAAGCCTTAAGAATAATAATAAGTCTTCGTTGTTATAATTTCATTACGCAGGTCAATACGTCGAGCTCGGAGCACTAGTTTTTCATTGGCTAATTATTGGAAATGAATAGTGACAGATAATAAGTTTATCTTTAATATCTATTAACCGTCAGTGTAATTTATCTTTTCCAAATAAATTACGCATCATTGTAACATCGCTCCAGCAAATACTTGAACAATTTTTTCTTATTCGCTTTCCTTCTATATACAAATCTAAATCTTTTATGATCTTAATGTATTTCTCCATGTATTTTATATGCTTATTTGCAATTACGAAAAAAGTAATGATTTTATTGGATGCAGAATACTTACGATAAAAAAATGTCAAGGAGCGAATGAAAATTACATAAAGCAGCAATGATGAGGAAAATTTTTAATAACGCGATAAAAAGTTGTACCTTTGGAAATGGCACTTGCAAGAACGAGAGGTATATTTGTAGCACGAGATATTGATATACTGACCAATGAAATAAAAATAAACATGTTGAGTACAGTGAGTGATCTTGAGTGAGTATTTTTGAAAATTAGCCTCTAAGAATTATAAACATTATTAGACATTAGTATTACTTTAATAATATCTTTTAAACGAGATGTTAAATAAATACTTGTGCATATACTTTGCAATAAGTCCAATGTATTAGTAAATTATTAATAATATTGTAATATTAATAAGAATTTATTGTATCTGCATTTTAACTATATTTGGTTAAATCCATCAATTGTCGTGATTGATTAAGTAAATCACATTACTCATTTTAAAGTCTTCAATAGCATAATTTCATACAATAAATAACAAAAGCTTTTTTAATGTATTATGTAACATATAACGAAGTTCTTTAATAAAATATTTTTTTCTTTACTTACAAATAGTCTTGAAGGCACAATTTTCCAGGCTCATTTGAAGAAATTTCTTTTTCAGAAGGCGAAAAAAAAATACATTTGACAATTCTCAAAATTGTGAGTTTTAAATAAATATGAAAATAATTAAAATACAATCTTATTAGTTAAATAAATTACAATTATTAGTTAAGTTATCTTGTTTGATACTTTCAAAATAGTAATCATAAGGAAAATACGTCTAAAATTTTCAAAATTCTTCCTATTGTATTAAATTATAGTTTTAATTATTCTAAGTTATCTCAATTAATTTCTTAATATATATATTTTAATATTTTTATAATGCACTTACTAACTTTTGTACCAGATATCCTTTTATATTTGTTCTAGTTTCTCTGCTCATAAAAGCATAATTATAAAACTTGTAATGCACATTTTATCTACAAATACATGCTAGATAATATATATACACATACATATTATGATTGAGGTAATTTTAATAATATTATAGATAATATAAACTAATTTTTAAACTGTGTATAATTCAATTAAATTATTTGAATAAAATATGGCTTTGATCAATACAATTACACAACACCTATCTGAAAATTACCATAGACATGTATGCACATATTTTATGTATAGTATAAAATTTTTTTATAAAAACGATAATATTTATAGAATAATAAGTCGTCAAAATGATAATAATTAATTATTGCAATTGAACTTTCGAGTATATGCCTCAATTGTATGTTGTTGTAAATTTGAATCAGTGCAAATATTTTTCATGTAATTAAATTAAAATTAAAAGAAATTTTGTTGATTAATTTAATAATTTAAGTTGATACAATAAAGGTTGAAGTATGTTTTAAAGTAGAAAAAAGTATTATCACATTAGTAGGTAAGTTCACTTAAAAATGAAAAATATGCATATTTTCATTATTCCTAATTAATAATTACTCGCTTGAAAAGCTTTGACGTATTGCTATTATTTGTTGTCACATATTGTATGGAAATTGAAAATAATGTTAAATAATAAGTGTAAAATATGTCAAAATATATTTTCTATAATTATGTCTTAATAACATAATGTAGAATTGAAATACACATATGCATAGACTACACTTGTGCGCAAGCTCGTATGCACGCACGCACGCACGCACGCACGCACGCACGCACGTACGCATGCATGCTTACTCAATATGGGACATTGCCGAAAGGAAGGAGAAGCTGACAATAATGAGATCGCGGAAGTTTATAAAAGTATTTCCGAGAGTGAAGAACGATTAATCCGTTTAGGAATAATATTAAATTTCATTGCAAGGATCAAACGTTTAATATTTGTTTTTCTTCTTTTATTTTTCAATCGCCAAGGTTGAACACATTAATATTCTTATCATTATTATTCTTTTGTTTTAAGTTTTCTTTATATATCATTAATTTAATACTATAACTAAGCATAATATATTAAGTTTTTTGTTCATTAATTGTTCTTTAACTCAGAGGATTTATATTGTAAATCACGATTGTGGTTTATGTGTTAGGTACAGTAAAGATAAGTTAGTATTTCTTCACTCGTTATTGTACAATAAGCGTTAATTTGTACAAATAAATATTAATAAAAATATTTCATCGAATAATTACTATATACAATATAAAGTCTGCAAGAACATATTAAAATTTCATTAAAACGACAGTTGAAATGCAGTTGAAATCATTAAAATAGTAAGTTTAAAATCACTACTTTCAAATGAAATGATCTATATTTATGAATTAATTAGGTGTAGAAATACGCGTATGTGTCAATAGTCGTAATATTACTTATGCACTTACACATATGTCGATATCCTCGATTGACACATGTTCACCGTAAATTAATAATTATTAGCCGATTTATTAACGTTATAGGCACAATGCTATTATATTAGCGTAATAGTTCTATATCAGAATTTTATTTATTGTATTATATTTTTCAATATACTTGAAATATTAAACGATTTGACTGCTCTTGGAAGATAAATATCTTGAAATATAATGTTTGCTTTAAATAATTTTTTCTCTCCACGTTATTAATTGATTTATTATATATATTTGAATGAATTAATTTACGAATTTAGAACATCAGTACCAAGATCAACATATTTTACATTCGATATTGAAGCATTAGTACTCGGAAATTTTGTTTTCATGTATATTTTTTAAAATTTCATCTATTTGAATAAAGTTTCTGCATTCATTATTTCATCGTTTGTTCTAATTCATTATTTATCCCTTATTTATTTATTACTACCTGTTTATATCTACATTCATGCTATATATTTACTTATTTGATTATACTGTATTAATATAAGAATATATTAATGTAAACATATACATGTATACAAAAATTTTGCTCTTTTAAACGTTATTATTTACTTTAGGA